GAAAATTTTTTTCTACAATTCGAATTTTCCGAGATACAGAGCAATGAATATAGATGCTGTTTTTGAATGAAATGCTCATATAATCGCTGAATTTAGACGAAAATTATTTTTGAATGAGTGTTTTGGATAGTGCAGAAAAAGAGCTAAAAAATGCTATGTTTAGAATTTTTCTACGATTTTTTTTCTCGAAATGGCAAGCGGTTAAAGAAAAAGCAAAAATTTCGTAATTTTTGTTTTGATATTCGCCGTCCTATCTGCAAGGGAAATATCTAAGCATGATTGTAATAAACACTATTGAAAAGTTCTCGAAAAACGCTTCCAAATGAGCCCCCGCAGAGCTCTGTAGGTGTATTTCCAGCCGAGATATGGAGTTTCAAAGTTATAGTCGTTTTGTTCTCAGGTGGGCAAAGATTATTGGGCGGGAGTGTATATTATTGTGTTAACTTCATGCCTGCTCTCGGACACTTAATTTACAAAAGTATCTTAGAATTCGAACTTAATTTATTATAAAGTATAAATGTATAAACGATACAGTAAACTATTAAAGCAAAAAGCGGATCTCACAGCCACATTAGACTTTGCCTCAAGTAGCGACTGTACGTGTAACAGGTAGATATTCTTTATAAATATACAGTTAATATTTATTTCTTCATGCTCAACCGAAAGTTCGCAATATTAATTTATCCGAAAATTAAGAAAAAGAAACATTCAATTTCTCATTTGACGTCTTTGAAATTCGCTTGGTTACGTTAGCTTTTAAACGCGTGTAGAGGTTTTCGGCTCCCGCGAAATTTGTGTCTCGAGCGCCAACAATCGCTACTGGGCAGCGGAGGCCAAAGACATACGCCAGCGAAATTATAAATAATTATTCATTAACTAACTTAAGGAAAAAAATAGCAAAGTTTACAATGTTGAGTAACATTTATAAATATCAAGGATAATGTAATATTTCTTAAATAATAGAAATTATATAAACTGTAACAGGCTGTCGCTTAGTCGATAATCTCTAGAAAATACCTTTATTGCGACTAAACGAAGCCTTGTTATCTCTGTGCTTAAAGCACAGTAACCTACCTTGTCTCGGAGTGCGCCTGCGCAGAGTCTCTTACTATTCCGAGTTGGGTTCCCTCAACTCACCGCTTGGCGGCGCTGTCGCCCCTTGCTAGTAGCGCTCGTGCGGCCACCGCTGGAACCTAGGTTGTCGATTCGCGTCTATCGGTATTCGCAAGATTCGTGCTACGAAACCGGCGAATTCGAATCCACTGTAAATAAACACTGACGCGACCTCCGGACAAAGGAAAGACTAAATAACCGAAACTCGTTTAAATAAAAATGATGATTGATTTATTCAACAAAATCAATTACACGGGGAATCTGCCGAGAGATTTACGCACGCTCGCGTGAATGACAAGACACGCTAAAATTGAGAGAGAGAGAAAACCGCGATTACCGCGAACTACCTGCTCGCACGCAACAAATAAATTCTTCGCGCTCGCTGCGCGGATTCGCACGCTAATTGTAACAACAATTAAAAAGGGGAAAAGGTGCACCTACCGCGAGAACGATGAGGATACGGTGGCCAACCGTATCCGAACAACAAATTGCTAAACGCCGCTTCGCTGCTCGCTGTGCCGCCTTGTATACTGTTGCTGCGGTTGCTACTGTTGTTGTTGCTGCTGTCGCTGCTACTACGGTTGTTGCTGCTATTTCTGCTGCACTCACTGCTGCTGCCGCTGCACTTACTGCTGCTGCTGCTGTTAGCACACCGCACGCAAGTTCTCAAAGTCACCAGGAAACGAAAAACTCACGAAAATGGAGGTTAGCGCGACGCTGAGAGACTGAGTAACACAGTCATACTGCCGGTCGGAGCCTCCCCTCCCGGTCATTGCCCCTACGCGCTCTCTCTCTCTCGCGAACCGAACACGGCTCCTCTCGCTTAGCCGCTCGTTTACCTCGCGCGAGTCTAACGATTTTCGGTAATCGTTGCAAAACCCATTATAAACCAGTCAGGAATTTTATAAAACTGAATACGGATATCGATTCTACGGGCAAAAAAACGACAAAAACCTATTTAACGTTTTTTTGTCAGAGTTCAATTTGTTAGTATAAAATACCTATAAACAATCTCACTTTGGGTAAGGGGCATTGACCATGCCAAATACCGTGCATAACCTGGCAGAGATATCGATAAACGAACTGCGCCATCCTTTGTACAACTAAGAAAAAAGTACCCATGTGTTTTGTTTTGTCGATTACAGTTGTTTATAAAAAATTATTTAAACAAATTTCGAAACTTTGCAAAACTAAATACTGATATCGATTCTACGGGCAAAAAAACGACAAAAACCTATTTAACATTTTTTTGTCATAATTCAATTTGTTAGTGTAAGACAGAAATAAACTTTTTGCATGTAAATCATCTTTCTCGTCTGTCTTAGATGTATACTTGCATGCTATAATTAGATGAGCTTATTTTTTTCAAAACCTTCCGTGTTAGAGATCACGTTCGAGTGGCAGGCTAACGGTGGTACATCAATTGAAAAAAAAATTATCTCTTGAAACAAAACTTTAGGAATAGAACTTTTCATAAAAGTAGATCATATTATTCTGTATTGATAACGCAATGGAATATGTCGAGATAGAGAGTTAGGGATTTACCTGAGTTAGTTGAGGATTCTGACATTGACGAAGATCAATATGTCGATATAGCATTTGTTTCTGTTGATCGTGAAAGTTCAGATGAAGATTCGGATGTTGATCCAGCAGAAGATGTAACATCTCATGATCTTCCTACAGGTTCTTACGTACATGTGAAAAGTACTTACACAAGTACTCAAAAATTGTTGGAGCCAATTATATTTACGATTGGAAAGATGATACTCTGGATAATATATCTTCTAATATCGAGAAAAACTCCAATCTGTCAGCTATTTCTCCATTGTTTTTGAAAAATTCCTTCGAATTATTCAAGTTATTCTTCTCGGAATCGATGAAGAATCACGTTGTGGAAGCTACTGCTTAGAAATATTTCGATTTGTCTAAAAATGATCTAGAAAGATTTATTATAATCATAATTATTGCTATTTTCAATTTTAGGAACCGTCTTTATGATTTTTGGTCAGCAAAACGAATTTTAGGGTGTCCAGTCATTTCCGTATTTATGACGAGAAATAAATTCGTTACTATCAAGAAGAACATTTGATTTTACAAACATCAAGATGAAACTCCATCTGACAAAGTTTGGAAAGTAAAACGCTGTATGAAATGTTCCGTGGGAATTGCATGAAATTCGGTTCTTTGACTACAACCTGTCGGTAGATGAGGTAATGGTGAAATATTTCGGTAAATTTGGTATCAAGAAGTCTATCAGGAATAATCCTATCAGGTTTGGAATAAAGATGTGGGCACTTTGTTCTTCTAATGGCTACATTTATGACCTCAATATTTACACAGGAAAAATCAGGGAATAACACACGAAGTGTTTAAGATTCTGTTGGATTGAGTTCTAGAGTAGTACTACAATTACTTTCTACTTTGTTAGAAGAAACCAAAAAAGAAAAATTGAGTAAGTACCACGTGTACTTTGATAACTATTTCTCTAATCCAGACCTAATGATATATTTGAAGAGGAATGGTTTATCATCAACAGGCACTTGTCCGGGAGAATAGTGTGAAAGAGAAGGTCGGAATGCCAAAAAAAGCTACAAGAAGAACCACTATTTTTAAGCATAAAGCAAATTGAAGGTTAAATTTCATTACGGTAATGGTTTCCAAACCCGTATCGATTCTCTCAACTACACATGAAATGAACCAAAAGTGGCAATGCAAAAATGGCAGGAATCGTCGAAAAATTCCATTCTTTTCTCTCATTCTTTTTTCATGTACAATCAACACATGGGTGATGTCGATCTCCACGGTCAATACTATAATGCTCTGATACCTTCGATCCAAGGTAAAAAATGGACATGGTGTCTTTTCATACGACTTATTCAAACATCTTTAGCAAACGCTACGGTGACTTACAATAAACTCCATCCGGATGAAAAGAAAGGTTCCAAAGATATTGTTAAAGAAGTTTATGAATATTATATTGCGAAGCTATCATCAGTACGTCCCCCAGGAAAAAGAAGAAGCATGAAAATTTTTCAGAACACATCATGAAACAAGGAAGTATGAAAATGCGAGATAAGTACGTGTTCGACAAGAACTGAATGGTTATGTACGAAATGTTGCAAATCTATTTGCAGAAAATATAAAAAAGGTCACGGCAATGAGCCATAATTGGGTTGATAACTCGGAAATTTATTGAAACTTTTACTACTTTGCGCACGATTGTTCATTCTTAATTTACATTAACAAATTGAATTCTGAAAAAAAACGTTAAATAGGTTTTTGTTGTTTTTGTCCGTGGAATCGATTTCCGCATTCAGTTTTGCAAAATTCCGAAATTTTTGATAATTTGTTTAAATAATTTTTTATAAACAATTGTAATCGATAAAAGTACTTTTTTTTCTGGTTAGGCAAAAGATGGCGCAGTTCGTTTCTCGATATCTCTGCCATGTTTTGCCTGGTTTTTGATAGTTTGATATCAACGTCTGTCTAACACTCATCTATATTTTTGTGTAGATTAGTTTCCTCCGATAATTTTCTGCATTGGTTGTAACAACTGTTCCAATATGACTAAATATTTTCCACCGATTTTGCATGTTTTATTTATTATGACCACACACTTTTCACTAGGTGTAAAGAAAAATAATAAAGATTATACAAACTGAAAGTAGACGACACTGCATTACTTATACACGAACTTGAAGTACAACGAAGATGACAAAATCTAGTGCAAAATATTTTTATTTCTGCTATCGTTAGAAAATATACAGTTTATTATAAAATGTCTAGAATAATATGAGGATTGTATTTTATATAAATTAATTTATAACTTTTTAACAAAATTATTCATGAAATTGTAAATCATAATATTACATAAACGTTTTTTTTAGTCAGAAAGAAATTTTATAATGGAAGTTGTTTGTGAAGCCACACAATCTACCAATACACAAATTAAAGTAGCTGCTCTACAGTGTCTTGTAAAAATAATGTCACTTTACTATCAGTTTATGGAACCCTACATGGCACCAGCACTTTTTCCTGTAAGTACTGAAAAAAATAAAATGTTATTTGTTATTCTATATTTCCAATTATTGTTTTGTATGAATTATTTAAATGTACATATCTATAGTAAGTTGGAGCTTACTAGGGAAATAATGTCTAATCTAAACACTTGATTTCTTATCAAACTTAGTTTTCTTTTACTAGAGAAAGTATTTTGATTCTGTTTCATGGACTTTTGTTCGGTAATTGTACTGTTTTTTGTCTGTTATATTAAGAAATCAAGTTTTGCTTTAAAACATAATAATTGTTGAGAAAACAAGTTATAGTCTGATTTGATTATCATAGAAAAATGATATTTAATGCTTCTTTTAAAAAAAAGTTGTTAAAAAGTGCAATCCATTCATAAGTTTCGTTCGTCCATAAAGATAGACGTAATAATCTATTTTTTTTTTTTAGATTTGTAAATTGGATTGAATATGTTGAGTAAAAAATTTAATTAACATAACTTATGAATGGATTAAAATTGTTTTGATAAATAGAATGATTTGATTTCAGCTTTCTATTGGTAAACCACAAATTATGTGACTTTTATTATAGTAACAATTATTATGGTTGTAATGTCTTAGCTTTGTTGTGAAGACATTACAACTGATATAAAAGTACATATAATCATTCTCTGTTTTTAGCTATTTATTATACATATTTGGGTGATTCCAGCAGTTTTTTAAAATTGGCTGCGCAGGGGGGTCAGCCGATCTTCTCGGCGATTTTTTTTATGATAGAGTATGTCAAAAGAAGCCTTTTGGCTATCGCAGATTTTCGTTAAAATATATGTATATGTCCATATATATTTTTTCAAAGTCTGAAAATCTGCCTAATTTTGGCTATTTTTGAAAAATCGTAGCTCCGCGAGTTTTCAATATTTTGCAACGTGCGACGTCTCATTTGATTCGTCTACTTTTATACTTTCAAGAAAAAAATTGTTCATTTATAAAAAGTGACAGCTACCGGGTGTACTCTGACGATATTCGTACGCTTTTTAGGGTCAATTTGATGCTCATATTCCGAGTACTGTAACTTGGTCAATTTTTAATATTTTTGAACCAATCGCATGTCATATTTTTTGTCTTTTTAAGACCTTTCATTTAAGATCAAGCGCATCCCAATCGATGCATTAGAGCCAGAGATATAGCCGATAAAATTTGGCCGTTTTTTCAAAAATAGACATTTTCAAAGGCGAAAAAAAAAACGCATTCAATTTTTTTTCTACTTTGAGGCGGTTTTAGTTAGCTCAAATCGAGTAGAACATGCTCTAAAATTTTCACAATATGACCCTTTTTCATTTTCAAATAAAACGATTTCAAAAATTGGCGATTTCGATTTTTTCAAAAAATGGTCATTTTCAAACGGCTATATCTCTAGTTTTAATGCGTCCATTGAGATGCGCCGGGTCTCAAATTATAGGTCTTAAAAAGACAAAAAAAAATGACACGCGATTGGTTCAAAAATATTGAAAATTGGCCAAGTTACAGTGCTCGGAATATGAGCATCAAATTGACCCTAAAAGCGTACAAATATCGTCAGAGTACACCCGGTAGCTGTCACTTTTTATAAATGAAGAATTTTTTTCTTGAAAGTATAAAAGTAGACGAATCAAATGAGATGTCGCACGTTGAAAAATATTGAAAACTCGCGGAGCTATGATTTTTCAAAAACAGGCAGATTTTCAGACTTTGAAAAAATATACAGGGTGAGTCATTTTAATTTCCCCAGTCTAATAACTTTTGAAACAAGCAAATTACGCAAAAATGTTTCAGACCAAAGTTGTAGGGGTTCAAGGGGGACATCTAGGGGTGACTTTGAAATTGACCTTGAGCTTGACCTTGACGGCTTTCTCAAGGTCAAGTCTATTTTTTTATTGGGAACCCCTATTTCTGACCTCGGAATCGGAAAGAGCGGGAAATTTTACATTCAGATAACATCTTTTAACATGGGTCAAAATAAACCCTTAAGGTCATGCTAAGGTCAAAACTATCCTGGAACAAGAATCGAACAATGTAAGCAAAATACGAAAAAATGACTCAGAAAAAAGTTGTAGGAGTTCAAGGGGGACGTCTAGGGGTGACTTTGAAATTGACCTTGAGCTTGACCTTGACGGCTTTCTCAAGGTCAATTCTATTTTTTTATTGGGAATCCTTATTTCTGACCTTGGAATCGGAAAGAGCAGGAAATTTTACAGGATTCAAATTTTTTAAATTTAAAAATTTTTTAAATTTAATTTTTTTAAATTTTACGGGACTATTCTTGTTTCCGTTCCCTATCCTTTTTTATTTTTCACCGGACTGTATGATTATTATTAATAAATTTCAAATATTGGAAGTTGTTGCTAATAATTTGCTATTACAAGTCTATTAAATTAATGAAACTATTTCAGTATCAATCTGATGTTCTGCAAAGAAATAAGAGTAAAAGTTAAATACATAAGGATAAATTTCATGTTCAATGAAGAATCTATTACATTTGGAAGTCGTTTAGAAAGTAATCGCAATACGTTCAGTCGTGATTTCAATTTTGAAAAAGCTTTAAATATTACTTTTGTTTTAACCATGCTTGTGTTCATTGTATCACTATCATTATTTCTTCATATTTGAATAAGAGACCTTTCTTATTGCCATCGATCATATGAAATCTAATTTGGACAATATTGCCTCTGTTTTCAGTAATATTTAATTTGTATCATCTTTCTATGATCTTTGCCTTTGTTGATTTGTATTGAGGTTTTTTGAAAAAATCTTTTAAATATGGCTGATTTTACCCCAACAGAGATAGTTGATATGATTTGGATTTTAGGAGAATGTAGAGGTAATTACCGTGAAGCGTCAAGGTTATATCGAATTCGATACCCACAAAGGCGCCATCCTGATCACCGTACCATTCATCGTCTTGAAGAAAGAGCTCGACAAGGGCATCTACGAAGAAGTCGACCAAGACATGAGTATGATGATAGAGATGCTAGGGTTTTGGTTGTCTTAGGATTGGTTCACCTAAATCCTCATATCAGCAGCCGACAAATAGAGAGAGAAACAGGAATACCTCAGAGAACCGTTATTAGAATTTTAAGAAGTAATAGATATCATCCGTATCATATTACCTTAACGCAAGCATTAAACGCTAATGATATGAGAAACAGAGTAAATTTCTGTCGGTGGGCTCTACAGATGATTTTGCAGGATCCGAATTTTTTTAATTATGTCCTTTTTTCTGATGAAGCTACGTTTCATAGTACTGGCCAATTGAATCGTCACAACAGTCATTATTGGTCTGATCAGAATCCTCACTGGTACAGACCAGTCGATAATCAACATCGTTGGAGTGTAAATGTATGGTGTGGAATAGTTAATGGTCATCTCATCGGGCCATTCTTTTTTGAAGAAAACGTCAACGGCAATGCTATTTTAGAACTTTTAAGGGATCATCTCCCACTTTTACTTGAAGACGTAGATCTTGAGACTAGACGTCGAATGTAGATACAACTGGATGGTGCAGGACCGCATTTCGCTTTAATTGTACGAGAGTTTTTAAATAGAAATTTCCAACAAAGGTGGATTGGAAGAGGTGGTCCAGTTGCTTGGCCTGCACGATCACCGGACTTAACTTCCCCAGATTTCTTCCTTTGGGGATACTTAAAAAATACTGTGTTCGCCGAAGCGCCCACAACAAGAGAGAATATGATAGAAAGGATTAGAGTTGCATGTAGACAAATCTCTAGAGATATCTTACTGCGCACTATTGAAAGCTTCGAACAGAGGCTCAGGCAATGCATCGACGTAAATGGTAATAATTTCGAGCAAAACTGATAGGAAATAAGTTTATTCTAGTTTCATCACGAATTGTGAGAGGCAAGGGGACTCACATTAATAAAGCACCCCAAATCGTGAGAGGCAAGGGGATTCACGTTAATAAAGCACCCCGAATCGTGAGAGGCAAGGGGACTCACGTTAATAAAGCACCCCAGAGGGAACATAATCCTATTACGTCCACGTCGTTGTTCCTGGGTAGTGCTAAAGATAGGAAGTTTATGATCTTAAACATCAGCATCGTTAGTACATGGCCAGTCCCTTATTCTTTGGAAGTTTATTTAACAACGGTCATATGCGATAAAAGCTTCGCCTCGAAATGTAACAAAAATAAGAGAATTTTCAAGAATTTGACCTTTGCTTCACATTGAGAATAGAAGTACGACAAAGGTCTTCGATGCTCGTTAAACCTTTTGATGTTTGAAAGCGGCTTCAATTTCTTAAGTAAAAACTGAAATATTGTTTATGTTCTTATGAAAAAAAACTAAATAGATACTTGAACGTAAAATTTCCCGCTCTTTCTGATCCTGAGATCAGAAATAGGGGTTTCCATTAAAAAAATAGAAATGACCTTGAGAAAACCGTCAAGGTCAAGCTCAAGGTCAATTTCAAAGTCACCCCTAGATGTCCCCCTTGAACCCCTACAACTTTGGTCTGAAACATTTTTGCGTAATTTGCTTGTTTCAAAAGTTATTAGACTGGGGAAATTAAAATGACTCACCCTGTATATGGACATATATATATTTTAACGAAAATCTGAGATAGCCAAAAGGCTTCTTTTGACATACTCTATCATAGAAAAAATCGCCGAGAAAATCGGCTGACCCCCCTGCGCAGCCAATTTTAAAAAACTGCTGGAATCATCCATTTATAAAGTAACAGGACTTACCTGGGTTTATCAATAAACGATGTGATTAGCTGCTATGCTTCTTTATGAGGCTCTGCACTTCGCTTGGTTTATTTTCCTTTTGTGGGTAAGGAGATGAAATAAATAAATTTGACATTTGCAAAAATTGAATAATAATCGTTAATGTAAGTTAAGAAGCTTAATTTACAATTCCTATAATATAATTTCAAGATGAGAAGTTAATCGTTCAGTTATCGCGTATTGCGAATCAACTACCAAAAATGGAACTGTCCGTAAGCTCGATTTTCCGGTCTATATAAATCTTGCTGAGTTT